ATTGAGAGACCCTTTATTGCCTCTTACTGCCATATAGATAAAGGCAAATACAATTATGATATGTCTCCACCTCAAGTGTGGCATTAGTGGATTCCACTGGGTAAACTATATGAATACACAGCCATTTTTCCTGCTAGGACCCAGGTCCAGTCTTAGCCCTCTAGGTTTTGGCCTATGCTTAGCTTTCTTCCTGTCTCTCTCATTTTCTCAGAAAAGTTTGCCACAGGTCTCTAGGCTCTCATTTATGGGCCCCATGCCAAAGATCAGTTCTAACACAATGGGCTAACAAATACTTTGTAGGTATCCTCCAATCCCTTCAGCAAGGCTGTCAATGAGCACCCTCTAGAGAGATATAAAATCCCTAATAAAAACTCACTTCCCTATAAACCATCACATTGTTCAGGTGCCCTCTGATCAACTCCGATTCTTTTTCCCTAGGTATAGGGAGAGTGTTTCAGGCAAAAGCAACAGCCAGTGGAAATTCAGAGTTGGGAGATCGAATATCTTGTGTAAGGAATGACAAGGAGACCGGTGTCACCGGACCACACAATATGTGAAGAGGAGTACAAGTGTGAGAAGACTTGGAATGTAGGAAGGGGCTAAGTTACAAGAGGCTTTAAAAGCCAAACAGAGGATTTTATATTTGATCCTGGATGGAACAGAGCATTGCTGGAGTCTGTCAAACGGGGGAAGGATAATGATCAGACCTACACTTTAAGCTGAGTGGAAGATGACTGGAGAATGGATAAAGGCTTGGAGCAGAGACCAACTAGAAGACTTTGGAAATAGGCCAGGCACGAAGTGATGAAAATCTGCACTAGAGTGGGACCAGTGTCAGAAACTAGAAGAGGGCATATATGAGAGATATGTAGAACTGGCAGTCCTTGGCAATACACTGGGTAAGGGTGGGTAAGAGATTTTGAGGGGTCAAGGATGACACCCAAGTTATAAGCCTGAGTAACTAGGAGGATAGTGTTGCCATCAATAACATTAGGGAAGATAGGAAGAAGAGAGGGTTAGGGGGGAAAGATGATGAGTTGAGTTTTGGACATGTCCAAAAGGTAGTTGGAGATACAAGACTGGAGAACAGGAGAGAGACTGTTGTTCAGTCATATCTGACTATCAATGACCCCATTTGGGGTTTTCTTGGCAAAATCCTAGAGTGATTTTCCATTGCCTTCTCCACCTCACTTTACAGATGAGGAAACTGAGATAAACAGGGTTAAGTGACTTTCCCAGGGTCACACAGCTAGTGTCTTAGGCCAGATTTGAACTCATGAAGATTTGGCTTCCTGATTCTAAGCCCAGTGCTTTATCCACTGTACCACCAACTGCCCCTCAGGAGAGAGATTAGGACCAGCTAAATAAATCTGAGAATCATAGGCATACAAATGATAATTAAATTCACCAACTGAACAGTATAGAGGGATTGGGCAGAAGGTTGGTGGGCTTGATATAAGATGAAAAACCAAGAAAGGAGATTAAGAAGGCACAATCAACATAAGTATGAGGAGACTCAAGATAGAGTATTATCATGGAAAGAGAGAAGAGTTTGATCAACAGTGTCAAAGGCTGCAGAGAGGTTAAGATGGATAAGGACTGAGAGTCAGTGAAGATCACTGGTAACTTTCTAGAGACAGTTTCAGTTGGAGGTAAGCTAGACTACAGAGATTAGAAGAGAGTGAGAGGAGAGGAAGTGGAGATATAAGTCTTTCTCCAAGGAGTTCAGCCAATGGTTACCTGCTTTCCTGAATGCCTTCCACAGTGCAGTGCCCATGGTACACAATTCTGAGACACTACTCAAATTATAAATTTTATGTGAGCATCCGGAACGTCCATAGTTTTGTGGGCCTAACCTTATGCTTATTCCCAACATCCAAGTTCCTCTAGGCTCTCATCTGCCTTGTTGCTATCCCAACCCTGCCCTGCCCAAAATAGGAAAAAAAGTAAAAAATAAGACAAACAAAAAAATAACGCAAAACAAAAAAGCTATTTACAGCAGCAAAAACAAAAAAAAGAAAAAAAAATCAAGCCTCCCTAATCCCCAGTGGGAAAGCATGCAGGTTTGCTAGGTAGTGAAGCACATCTCTGTATATTGTTCTGCAGTCTGTAGTTATCTCTAAGATGCAATCTGGTCCATAAAATACACAGATCGCGGTTATGGGATGCAGATTACATCTTGCGGATTCAGAGATATTGGACATTTGCTTTTCTAGAAATCTTGTTTGTTTCGTTCCAAGGGGAGTCTACACCACAAAATGGTGCCATGAGTCTGGAGAACTACATGGGTCCTTGGGAGGTAGGTAAGAATCAGTAAAGAGGAAGAAGTTTTATATACATGTATGTATATATGTATGTCGTTAATGTGCTTATGTTTATGTTTGCCGTATTGAGGCAGTTAGGTGATACAATGGATAGAATGCTGGGCCTAGAATCATGAAGATCTCAGTTCAAATCTGGTATTGGACACTTACTATCTGTGTGACCCTGGGCAAGTCACTTAACTGCTGTCTGTCTCAGTTTCCTTCACTGTAAAATGGGTATCTACAATAGCACCTACCTTCCAGATTTATTGTGAAGATCTACTGAGATAATATTTATAAAGCTTTTTTTTAGCACAGTGCCTGTTGCCACAGAATAAGTCTATAAAATGCTTATTTCCTTCCCCCTCCCTGTATTGTCTGTGGGATACAAGAAGGCTGTCCTATACATACTCACATCCATGGAGACCTGGGCATGAGCTATATTTTGAAGTTCAGAGGGGGAAATTCTTTTTGAGGGCAAAACTAAAGAGAAAAGATTTGGGGCAAAGGCCCCTCCCCCAAGTGAACCTGGTTTTTGAAACCCAGACCTTTGAAGAGTGTTGGTCTGACAGTTACATATTAGGGACTCATCTGGGATGCTGGGCCATTGTTTCTTTAGCATTGTTTCTTTTCCTTTGATGGGAGGAGTCCAAGCTCTTAGTGTGGTTATCATAAAGCTAGAAGCCTATGAGGATTCTGGGGTTAAGGATGGAGGGCAGTGTGTGTGTGTGCGTGCGCATGCGCGCGTGTGTGTGTGTGTGTGTGTGTGTGTGTGTGTGTGTGTATGCTGGGGGGGGTGGTTCATTAGTAATACCACATAGTAGGTATTTAATAAATTTTTATTGATTGATTGTTTCTGTCTCTTTCTTACACAGACATCATCTCATCTCTTACATATTAAAAACACACAAACACCATTCACACACTACTTTGGCAATGATGAACTGAAAAGACTATAATTTTACTCTCTGGCATCTTTACTCTTAATAAGAAGCTAGCAATGGCAGAATCAAATGCACACATTCAACAGAATTCTCAGTTCATCTGAATCACTGCAAATAAAACTTAATCAGCCTTGTCAAACACATACAATCCGATTTGAGAAATATTTATTCAGCACCTCCTTTGAAGCAACATGTGCCAGGCACAAGGATGAAGAAAACACATTCTTCTGATCTCAAGGAGCTTATAATTGAGGAGGGGTAAAGAAGGTAAGAAAAGAATGTAAATAACCATAAAGCAAGGCAGAAAAAGAATAACATTTATTAAACGCCTACTATGTTCAAGGCAGCAGGCTAAGCACTGGGGAAATAAAGGTGAAACAAAACAGTCTTCTGACATCACTCACATTCTAGTAAGAGGATTAAGGCAAATGCACAAATAACTGATAAAAGAAACAATGTGAAAAAGCCAAGAAGGGTAGGTACAGTGCCGTGAGTAATCTGAAGAGAGAAAATCTTTTTATTTGGAAGAGATCATAAAAGGCTTCATGAAGGATATAACACCTCAGTTGGACCCTGAAGGCAGAGAAAAGTTTTTAATAAGCACAGGTATGGGGGAAGGGGAGCAGGAAGGAGTCCCTTCCAGGCATGGATTGCAAAATCAGAACCATAACTACAAATTTTTTTTCTGAGCGGGGTGTGTGTGTGTGTGTGTGTGTGTGTGTGTGTGTGGACATGCATGCATGTGTGCAAAGAGAGACAGAGGCAGAGAGGTGTAAACCACTTCCCAGAGAATCCTCCGATGCCTCTGGTTTTGGTGGGGAAGGTGAGCCCTAGGAAGAAGTGCCACAACTATGGGACCTCTAGGATTAGTGACCCTGAGCCCAGTGAAGTAAAATGCATCAGTTCAGTAGAGGATGATGAAGAGGATGTGAGGGGTAAACAGCATGTCTTTGGTGGGAGGAAGCATCCAAGGGAAAAATCTCAATTGCAGATCCCTAAATTTGATTTTCCCCAGAATGAACCAAGGTATGGAAACTAGACAAGTCAGGATGAGAATAATAGCTAATAAGTAATAACTAATGAGTGGATGATATGAAGGGCAAATAGGGTTGGGTACGACTGAAAGGTAGGTCTCAGAGAAGCTGTGAAAGACTTTGGATGGGGATCAGACTATACTTTATTAGAAAAGGTGATGGGGAGCTATTGAAGGTTTTTGAGGAGAGAGGTATGATGTGAACAGATATACAACAAGAAGACAAATTTGGATCATTGAATATAAATAATTTTACAGGAAATCATTTATCTAGGGAACTTAGACCTTGCTGACATCTTAAAAGGTGCTAAACTAGAAGTTATGAACTGATACACAGAACATTCACTGCCCTAGTGCTCTGTCTCTTGTCAAGGGATTTGTTCTTTTTAAGGTTTTTTTTTTTTAACATTTTCATTGCTGTCTTCTTTCTATATATTTGAATCTTCTATACTTGAGACAAATATAATATGCACTTTTTTTTCTACTTTTACTTCCTTGACCTCTTTCTTTCCCCCCTGTCTCCCAGCTCCCTTAAGCCAACAAACATTTCTCTGTGAAGTTGAAAAGAATTTTTTATTTACTCTTCAAATATTCCTGAAATGTTCTTGTTTACACACATGTATGCTCTAACTCAAAGAAGAAATTTCAAAGCGCTCAAAGTGGAAGACTTCAGAATCACCTCCATCCTAAAGCAGACTCACACATGATCAGCATTCTTACCAGCTACTTTGTGAAGAGACAACTTTTTCTCCAAGGCCTTAGTTTCATTTCTGGATTCTGGAGACTTGATTACTTTGTCCAGTTTTTCAAGGTTTCCAGGAGGGAGTGTGTGCGAGTGGGGAGTACTTATAGTTTGCAAGACAGGTTTCTTGGGTAATGGAGGCTTGTGATTAAGCTGCTCAGAGGACTTGGCTTTACCCTTCACCTTATCATTTAAAGGACTAGTCGCACTTATATCTGAGAGTCTTTTGATTTGAGTTTTTTCATCTTTTGAAAGCAAAGTTAACCCTCCTTTCTCCATCCTTATCTCTGCACTGTATCGCTTCATGCCTTTTGATTCTGGGAAAGACCCATCTCTATATTGAAAGACAGTGAGGTGGACCGGAGTTTGACTTGAAAGGGGTTTTTGTCTTCAGTGACAGGCTGACTAGGTAACTGTGGACAGGGATCTGTCTTTGGCTGTACGGCACCAGAAGCTGGAGATGTACAGCTCAGCCCAGTGTGGTCACCCTCTCTGCCTACAGAGTTCTGAGAGTCACTCTCCACTGGGAGTGCCTGTTTTAGAATGCCCAATTTTCCTTCCTGGTGTTCAGCGTTCACCTGAAGATTATCCCTGGTCACCTCATTTCTTGAGGCCAGGTTCATCTTCAGCCAGGACAATTTTGTGTTTGATGGAGTTTCGCTGCCTGAATATTCTTTCAGATAGAGGCTGCTAGCCTTTGGTCTCTCCCAGGAGGAAGACACAGAGAACTTCCTTGAGCTCCTCACATTGCTGGCTGCCCTTTCCAATTTACCTTCTGATAGTGCCCCCCTGGGAGTTGTGGGAGGAGAGCCTGGCTGCTCAGACTTGGAGACCTCTTCAGGGGTGGTCTTTTTCTCCAGGTGCCAGGGGGCAGGTCCTACCTGTAGTGACATAGAACCTGGAGGAATGGGAGAAACATTGGCACTTGAGGTGACTGAAGAGTTTTTGTTTTTCAAACAACTCTTCGGTAACTGGGTGCCCAGGTCAGTGATTGTGGATTCTTTCATTGATTCCCCATCATCAGCCATTTCCAGGCTGTCTTTTGATTCCTGTATATTTTCTTCTGAACAATCTAAACCGGATGAAATTGTAGTAGTATTGGAAATAGCCTTTGGAGAGGGCATATCTAGAGGGCTTTCAGGAGATTGATTTTGAACTTCATTAAGTGAACAAACCAATTCCTCACACGTGCTCCTTGTAGGAAAAGACAGTGCTGAGAGAGATTCTTCTTTGCTCTCTTCTTCATCTAGAGCAGGAGGTGAGGAGTTTTTGGGAAGAGAAGGTGGATTTAAAAAAAGTAAATGGTCTGACTCTGAGCCACTGACTTCCACTGTAGTCTCAGGGTTATTTACTAGGGATGACAACTCCCCTGCACTGGCAAATACATCAGGAAACTGGAGTACCCCAGGCTTTTCATCTTGGTTCTCCTGGCTCTGGGAAGGCTCCTCAGGCATCTCCGGTCTCAAAATCTCGGGGCTATTTGCTACAGTCTCCTTGTCCATCATTTCCTCCTGGCTGTGACTGGAATTCTCATCTTTATTGTCTCTGATCATTTGTTTCCCATCCTCCTCCTCTTCCTCTGGGGTACAAGTCAGATCACTTAGAGACTCTGACTGCGCGCGCTGCAAGAAATACAGGAGGTGTTAGTTTTCAGCACTACTTTAAACATCTATGAAGCGAATTTTTTTAAATTTTGGATTTCCTCCTCTTGCTATTTGTGATATTTTAGAAAATGATACCCATAAGCAAATATAATTATAAATGAAAATGCTAAACAAACAAATTAAAGCATCTTTTTTTTTCAGTCTCCTATGTAATTAACCTATTCAGAGTCTCAAACAAACTAATTTGCAGTGAAACTGTACAACTGCACCCTAGAGACATCTGTGGATTTTTTTTTTAAGGTGAATCACAGGACTGTTTTTTTGTTTTTGTTATTTTGCTTTTTGGCAAGGCGACTGGAGTTAAGTGACTTGCCCAGGGTCACACAGCTAGTAAGTGTCAAGTGTCTGAGGTCGGATTTGAACTCAGGTCCTCCTGAAGGCTCTTAACTGTTCTCCCTATCAGTAGTGATCTCTCTATTTAAGTCAGGCTATGTTCTTTGCTGCCTTACACATTTGTGCCCAGAATGCCCATCCAAATCCTACAAATCTCAGCTAAAGTTCTAGCTATTTGGTGAAAGATTCCCCATTGATGATCATGATCCCTTTCTCTTCTGAATTCACTTGTTCATTTGTTCAACAATCATTGATTAGGCACCTAATATGTGCAAAGCACTGGGCTAGGTATTGGGGGAGATATGAAGATAGTTAAGACATGGTCCGTATTCTCATGGACTTTACATTCTGGAAGTATTATATTACATTCACATATGTAAAATTATATAATATAAAATAATTTTAATAAATACTATAAGATCATAAATATATATAACATAAATGCTTACTTACATTTATATCGCATAGCTCCAAAATGCTACTCAAAGTTTGAGGAAGGATTATTCAATAAAGTCTTTAAGAAATCTTAGTGTTTGATTCAAGACAATTCCAAAGGACTCCTGATGGAAAATGCTATCTATATCCAGAGAAAGAACCGATGGAGTCTGAATGCAGATCAAATAATACTATTTTCAGTTGTTCTTTTTTTCCACAGTTTTTTCTTCTTTTGGTATGTTTCTTTTTTAACAACATACTAATATGGAAATACGCCTTAATACGCTTTACATGATTGCACATATATAACCTATATCAAATTGCTTACTGTCTTAGGGAGGGGAAGGAGAGGAAGGGAGGGAGAAAATTTGGAACTCAAAATTTTTTGAAAAATGAATGTTAAAAATTATTTTTAAATGTAATTAGAAAAAAATAAAATACTGTTTAAAAAAAGAGATATTGTTTATGCCACTCACTAGACACACCATATCCTGCCACATATTGTTAGTTATATTTTTATATCATAGAATCAGATAATATAATAAAAATAGTGGACTTTAGTGATCATCTAGCCTGACTCTCTATTTCTACTGATAGGAAAACTGAGGCCCAAGAAGGTTAAAAAAAAAAACAACTTGTCTAAGATCACAGAGCTAAAAGAATTCAAACCAAATATGATCAAAAACTTAAACATTTTTGCTTGAGGAGATTTCATTTTAATAATTTCCTATACATAAAAGATGACGCTTTTCTTTTGTAGTAGTATCAATAATGTCCTTTTCAATTTTCTTCCTCCTTTTTTTTTTATTTAGGCAATTAGGGTTAAGAGACTTGCCCAGGGCCACACAATTATACGTGTCAACTGTCTGGTCTGAGGCCAGATTTAAACTCATGTCCTCCTGACTTCAGGACCAATGCTCTATCCACTGTGCCACCTGGCTGTTCCCTATTCTCTATTTTTTTAAAGTCTTTTTAAAAGAGTGGGTCTCCCTATCTTGCCCAGGCTGAAAGTGCTATTTATAAAGCTGATCCCACTAACAAGCTTTTTTGACCTGCTCTGTTTCTAACCTGGGTTAAATGGCTCCTATTAAGCAACCTAGCATACTGCCTTTCCCCAGGGAAAGAGTCAATCGCCATATTGATGCTGAACTTAGTGTAGATGCCTAATTGGCACAGTCCACTGCAGCTCACAACTCTTGAACTCAAGAAAAGGGCTAGCTTCAGCCTCACTGATATCTGGGATTAAAGGAGTGCATCAACCATGTCTGGCTAGCAGAGTCTTTTTTCCAAGACATTCAGACTATTTCTTATGTTCTGGCCTGAGTTTTTTCCTCCCCTCATGCATTTAGAATATCCATTTCATTTTTTTCCCAGATTTTTCACCTCATTAATCAACAGATACAGCATGATCTGAGAAAGAATTAATTCATGAAATAGAATATAGTATGTAAGCAATAACTAATTTATAAGGGTCTTCTTTGGGTCAGACAATGTCACCCTGCTAAAATTATACTACAAGTGTATGTAATTTTGTCGATGTGGGTGCTCCCTCTGCCAATACAGATCACAATCATTCTACAATTTAGGAAACAATCTGAGACTTGCTATGGCCCAAACCCCCAAATTGCTCCACTGCAAACATGGTGATGAACCTCTCTGGATTGAGCTAGGCTTGTTTGCAGACAGATACAGTCCATCACTTGGTTTGTATTTGAAATCTTTTCTAAATTGGCAGGACCTGATATAGCTTGCACTCTGCTGGCATAGCCTTTGAGAACTCAGGATCACCTTCACACCATGAGGCATCACTTGAGTAAATACTTTAGCGGAAGGCTGAAATAATATTAGAGGGCTCTATATTAGCTATCATTTGTCCTGTCTCTTCAGCTAGACTATAAACTCCTTGAGGGTAGGAACAATATCTTATATATTTTTCTATTCTGTATAGTACCTTGCACACAGCTGGTACTTACTACATGTTGGCTGGCATTGATAGCTAGGAGATACCTGAGACAGTTTCCATACATACCTTTTAGTCTCCTAGAACATCTCAGATCCAGATCTAAATTATAGCATTGTGAAAAGAGCGCTGGGTTCAAATCCCAGCCCTGCTGCTTACTACTTGCTATTTTCTGTGACTCTGTGACAAGTCATTTCTCTTTGGGCCTTGGTTTTCTCATCTGTAAAATGAGGGTATTGGATAAAATGACCCCTAAGGCTCCTTCTGGCTCTGAATTTATGATCAGCAATATCCCAAGATGAGAAGCTGGCAGAAGAAGTGAGAAATGTGGAATTTTCAAAACAGTCCTATATTCTTAATTACCTGGACAGAAATATCAAATAATAAATGCATTTTGACACGAGTCTGGCTTTACTGGATAAGCAGCTATCCAACGCATAAGAATATGTATACAGTGCTTCCAGTTACATCTAGAAATCTCAAGACTCAAGACTCAAGACATCTGTAGTCAAAAGTGACAGAATACATTCCAGGAAACAAATAAACATTCCAGTAACAGTTTTTGCCTATCACAAAAATGACCTAGCAAACGTTTGATTCAAGACAGTACAGCAAAGACTGCCCAGTGTTTGAACAATGGAGGGACTCTGATAAATATTTCCAAAGATGGCATCTAATGCTGAATATTGGCCTTCAAAGCAGCAAAAGAGAATATTAGGGAATTAATATAAGGGAATATTAGTCCTCCACCATATACTACAAGAAGGAACTCAGTTCTGGGAAATTCCAGGGTCCCTGACCCTACTCCCTTAAGGGGCAGTTGATGGTACAATGGGTAATAGAGCACTGGGTGTGGAGTCAGGAAGATTTGAATTCCAATCCAGTCTCAGACACTAGCTGAGACCCTGGACTAGTCACTTAACTTCTGTTTGCCCAGTTCTAAAATGGGGATAATAACAGCACTTACCTCTCAGAATCGTTGTGAGGATCAAATGAGATAATGATTGTACTTAGCACAGTGTCTGGCACACAGGAGTACATAAAGCCTTATTCCTTTGCCTTCCCCCCACTCTATCCCAAAGCACTGTCATCTGCCACTATCCTTTCCAACCCTTGACATCTTCACATCTGGAAGAGCCATTCTGTCCCTAGTTACTAAGCCAAATCCTTTTCATCGTTGGAGGTACACTTGAAAGTGACCAAAAAACTCCCCAGATAAAGAATAATGAGGAAACAGCTGACACTTTCTATCTTCCTCCTTTACCCCTACCCATTTCAAAAGAGGTACACATGCTGCCCTGTTCAATCCAATCTTGCTTTTCTAAGATTTAAACTATTCAAGAGTAAGGGAACAGGAGCAACTGTGTCAACTGGGTGCTTTGTAAAGTCCTTAAAAGGTCTCCTGTTTGCTCAGTGAACATGTCTGTGGCAATGAATAAGAAGTTGGAATAGATTTTTTTCTTGTCTCCACAGCTGCACAGGGTTACATTGACTGGAAGACAGTTCTTTTTGTTAGAAAAAGACTTTTGTTGACATTATTCCCTGAAAAAACAAACTGCCTGATAGGTAGCTTATCATACTTCTTAAGGGGGGAAAAAACCCAAACTATTTTGTCCCCTAAAAAGAATGCCTAGAACATTGAAATGCTTCAGCCTCCTGACTCTCCTGAAAGTCGACATTGCTGGACCTGCAGGAGTTTAATCTGTATCCAACTACAGTGACATGAAATTGACGAAAGGAAAGGAATCTGTTTTCCTTTAAGTTAGGGAAAAACAAACAATTTCCACCCAGGAGAACTAAGTTGGCTAGAAATTCACTAATCAAAAGTCAGCTTGGTCAAAGCATCATAAAACACCCTCACTATCTTCTGCCAACATCCATTTTTCCTGGCACCATCATCTCCACAGCCAGAAAAGGATTAGGTTCTTTCTTCAAAAGGAGACAAGCCCTCTAATATCAGCACTTAAGCCCCTCTTCCTAAGGCCAATGGAGTCACCCAGGCAATGTGGTCAGTTCCAGGGGTAGGCATGCTGAAAATGAGTAGGGATATCTGACCCTGCTCCAGTAATCAAGGAACCACCCCTGAAGACATTTTCCATATGAGTACCAAGCCCTACTTCCATTTGGTGAGACCTGACTTACCGAACACAGTCTTCTCATTTTGCTGGACCGCTGGTTTCGAGGTTTAACTAGCAGTTTGTGCTTTGCCGCAGAGTTATCAAGGCAGGAAGAGAACTCAGGAGGATAATCAAAATCTGCTAGAGGCGAAAGACTACTGTCTGATGTCCGTGGAGATGTCATGGTATCGCTGGCATGTCTGGAGAAAAGCTGATCTGGAGAAAGGGGTCTGGAAGAGGAACTTACAGGGACCTTTCGGAAGCAAGGACATTCAGGGCATTAGCTTAAAAAAAGCAGAAGAATAAGATTCCAAACATTTACTTCTCTTCTCTTAATGAGCTTAGTTTTCGTACTGTCCCTTGTTCTTTCTTATGAGGAATTTTTAAATTTCTAAATATTTATTTATTCTATTTGTTTATCACATCTAAAATAAAAAAATTCATGATTTTTTGTTATTTCTAAATATTCTAAATTTGGCATCTGATGGGGAGAATTCTGTGATATCTTAATAGAAAATAATAACAAATAAGGGATGAAATTCATATCATACTTTAGTGTTTACCAACTGCTTTACCTAAATTCTCTTTTTTGAGTCTTTTTTTTTTTTAGGCAACTGGGGTTAAGTGACTTGCCCAAGGCCACACAGCTAGTAAGTGTCAGGTGTTTGGTCTGAGGCCAGATTTGAACTCTGGTCCTCCTGATGCCAAATATGGCATTCAATCCACTATGTCACCTAGCTGTCTAAAATTCTGGGGTTCAGTGAAATAAAGCAACTTGTCCAAAGGCAAACAATTTGGCCAAGAATGGAACCCACATCTCTTGGCTCCAAATCTTGTGACTATGTTAAATAGAAGCCAACATGCTGGATAAACACATGAAAATATGTCATACATTTCTAAGAAAATCTGAAGTGCTAAATGAAAGAGACCACTTCTATAATGGATCCCAGTGAACTAGAAAAGCTTTACGGCTAGGAATTGTGCCAACTCTTTGTTCCAAAATCTTTGGATCAGGTGGCTTGCCCACTTGTACTACTTAAACATGATAAAGTTTCTCCTTGTATGTGGAGCAATAAAGCTGGACCAGTGGTTGACAGTCCAAGTGGCTCCTCCATGTAGTGTACTGGTCAAAGAACATCTATTTCATCACATGATTTCATGTCAATGGCTTCATTCTCTCAGGCCAAAATCCTTCTGTGCTTACTTACGTCCTTACTAAGGTCTTAATTATTCTTTAATTCTTTACCAGGGACAAAGTTGGAAGTCACCAAAGACAAATTCTGGTTGCTAATTTCATAAGTTTGTTTAGGTGTGACTCTGGCTAAGCACAGTAAATTCAAATGATAACTATTCAATTAATTTCTTAGCTTTATATGTGTTGATGGTTTTGATGGTACCAGGCTGGTTGATGTGTTTTCTAAACAAATACTGAATCAAAAACATTCCCTCACTTGGGTGTATCTATCCAACAGAGGACACTTTGTTCAAGGAAGGGATGTTATTTCAATTTTGAACTTCCACTGGAAGTTTTTTCTTTTTCAATATTATGAAATATCTTATTTGGCAGAGCGCCTTAATTGAATGACATCTAAATGACTCCTCTAGCAGAGATATTCATCAATATAAAGTAATGTGGGAAAAGAGAAAGGCAGTAATTATTACCAAAATCCAGACCACAGTCTGTTTAGTGGAAGATTGTGGTACAGATGAAAACATCTGTTTACTGACAGCCCAGGATCCAAAACCCCCTCAAAAAATCCCAGCACCAAATTTTAGTCTGTGCAATGATGAAAACCAATGAAGTTCAATTTTGTGGTTGAACCAATAAGTAAGGCAATAATTCATTTCTGCACAGTGAATCTAGCAAAGCTGGGGGACAATATTCTCTTGAATGTGAGACCAGAGAGACTGGCTTGGGGCCTGCTGTCCCCTGCAGGCCAATTACTTCAGCAAGTCATTCATTTTTCATATTAGTCTACATGACGCTGCTCTTGTCTAATGAAGACAAATTTTAGTTGCATCAGCTAGAAAGGGAAAATGATTAAAAATCCCAGAAAAGAGGAATCAAAGGCACCTAGGTTCTATTTTTGTTTCCTTATCTATCAGCTTATGGGGGAATAAAATAAAAAAATAAAGCCCTGAAAACAAAACTGCGTTAAAGGCAAAAAATCACGATAACTGCTAGCTAGTCTCATGAGTACCTATGATCTGGATTCAGAAAACTGATGTGGGTAACACAGAGGCAAACCCAGCCTTTCTGAAACAAGGCTGCTTTCTGACTTGAAACAATAAAAATGGTTTAAAAAAAATTCCTGTGTTGAGTATCAGTCAGTCAATAAGCATTTTACTGTATTATAGACAGAATGCTGGCATCTCACAATGAGATTAGCATGTGTATACTTAGAAGAAAAAAATAGGAAAAAGGACTGCTGTTCACTAAAGGGAGTAGCATCTCTTTCTGATTGATTAGAAACTAAGAATTGTGTGATACAAACAACCCAAACATGATGGATCCTCAGAAGGGCTGGTGAGCTTGTGTGTGCTCAGAGACATTTCAATCTTTTTTTTCCCTCTAAAAAAAAATACAGCCACACAATACCAAGAAGTCTCAGGAAGCATGAATAATTCCTGCTTCCCCCCAGCCCCCCACCCCTTTTCTCTGCTTATAACCCTTCCAACCTCTACTCCTCTGGGAAAGCCTATAAAGAAATTGGAATGAAACCAAGTTCTCTTTTCACCTTGCATTAGACCTCTAAATTTCAGTCTTGGCTTTGTTTTCTAATTAAGCGATTATGACAGTTTTTGAGGCCTCGGGCAATCAAGATACCCATCTATGTACAGTTTTAGGCAGGACTGCGTAACCCCAGGGGGCAATGCCCCATTTTAATCCTGTATTCAATAATTTTTTTTTCTGAGAAATGAGCTATAGGTGGACTAAGAGAGGCAGCTTTTTAACTGATATCTCCAAAACTCCAGCTCCTGGCCTCGGCTTAGTCATTGTGACTCTGAGGGGTCTCAATGGAGTCCAACCCTCCCCCCTGCATAGAATTCTGAAATCCCACCTTTGTAAATTCAAGTGGGGTCATCTGGATTTGGAAGGGGGTGAGGAGGGCCTAAAGAGCCAGATTACAGGGCACTAAACATAACTCAAATAGCCACTAGAATGAAGATGCAGGCCTATATTAGATTGCATGCTGTCTTGGGAAGCTGGACAAATTTAAACTCAAAATCTTATAAAAGTGAATGTTGAAAACTAAAAATAAATTTAAATTAAAACAAACAAACACACACAATTGTTTGCTTTGACCCTGGGAAAAAAAAAGAATAAAGAAACAGTAAGCAGCTATAGTTTAGGGACCTTCCTCATTTCCTCCAGATCTAGAGATGACCTCTAAACAGTGATTATTTTAGTTTTTGCTTCTTGGAAAAAAGAAAACCTTCACTTTTTTTTTTTTGCAAGGCCCAGGGTCACTTATCATGTTTCTAAGGCTAGATTTGAACTCAGGTCCTCTTAACTCCAGGGCCAGTGTTCTATCCACTGCATCATCTAGCTGTCCCCTGAAAGGCTTCACTTTTTAGCTGTAAGGGTTGCTGCTTACTGTGACTGTCCTGGTAAGCACAGCAGGCTGTGGTTGCTAGTGACCATAGGTGTGTTAACACTGTCTGACATCTCTAGCTGTTAAAGCCTAGGGCCCATTTTTCAGTGTTCTTTGAGTCTAAGGGGTCTTTTTTTCTCAGTGTGGCTAAAACAATGCAGCCACCTGTATAGCAGCCCATTACACTTAACCTTTCCACATTGCAGGGGTTAGTGGTGTGGTGGCTGCCTCGCTCCCATTTCCCACAATCTGGAAAATCCACGTAAAATTTTTTGGCCCTCCTTTCATGCTAGAGAAGAAAGTATATATTTATGTTATTAAAAGATAAGATATGTTGATATTATACAATAATATACATATATTTTATGCATTTCTGAATTTCTAAACGTTTTCTGTGTTCTCTGCTGGCCTTCAAGTGTGATCTGTGGCTTCTGCAAAACTCTGCAAAATTCTCATTTAATTTCTTTGTTTTTTGTTTTCTCATGGTTTTTCCCTTTTGTTCTGTTCCTTCTTTCACAACATGACTAATGTGGAAATGTATTTGGTATGATTGCACACGTATAACTTATATTGGATTGCCTGCTGTTTTGGGGAAGGGATAGGGAAAGGAGGGAGAAAAATTTGGATTCAAAATGTTGAAATGAATGTTGAAAACTATCTTTCCATGTAACTGGAAGAAATAAAATACTATTTACAAAAAAAAAATTTCTCATGCTGACTCCAGTGCCTAGCATTGAGCTTTGCATATATTTGTTATTTAATAAATGCTTGTTGGATTGAATCAAATTATCAGTTGATTTCATGTCCTAAGCTCTAAAATTGGATGGGGCCTCAGAAACCATCTGGGACAACCCTCTCATTTTACAGATGAGGAGACTAAGGCCTAGGGATGTTCAGCAATTTGCCCAGGGTCACACAAGTAGCAAGCTATCAGAAGTTGGATTTGAACCCAGATCCTGACTCCACAGCCAGTATTCTTCCCATTGTACCAAACTGTAGCTGTTTAGTCATTTTTCAGTTATGTCTGACTCTCTATGGTCCCATTTAGGGTTTTCTTGGCAAATATATTGAAGTAGTTTGCCATTTCTTTCTTCAGTTCATTTTACAGGTGAGGAAACTGAGACAGAGTTAAGTAACTTGCCCAAGGTCACACAGCTAGTGAGTGTCTGAGGCTACATTTGAACTCAGGTCTTCCTGACTCCAGGCCTAGCATGCTATTCACTGTGCCACTTAGCTGCCTCTGTACCAAATAACCTCCTTTGAAAATTCCATAAGTGAAGCAGCTAGGTGGCACAGTGGATAGAGCTCTAGCCTTGGAGTCAGGAAGACCTGAGTTCAAATCCAGCCTCAGCCCAAACACTTAACACTTACTAGCTGTGTGACCCTGGGCAAGTCCCCAATTGCCTCACTGAAAAAAAAATCCATAAATGATAAGCCTCATAAACCTTGGTCTTTGCACGTAGTAATTACATTTTAAAATCAAATTTGTTTACAAAATAATCTACTCACGATTGCACATACATAAGCTGTATTGCTTATTGTCTTAGGGAGGGAGAAAATTTGGAACTCAAAATTTAAAAAAAAAATGTATATTGTCTTTACATGTAATTGGGAAAAAAATAAATTAAAAAAAAGAAAAAAAAAACAAAATAATCTATTCAAGTAGGAAATGATATCATGGTATTATCCTCAGATAATGAATTTTTTAAAAAATCACAACACTCCGTTGATAACATGAAACCATTGTTTCATGTTAAATATCTATGTGTACATGAGGCCATACTAAGTGTCATATGGCACAAACTAAGAATACAATCCTATCCCTCTGGGATTTAAAGCACAATTACATCAATTGATCTCTGTTTTAATCACTTTTGAATAGCTAAACTGATTTTGTTCAAGCTTAGTTTTATATGTAGAGAACCCTTTCAGTGACCAGAATTTGGTTCTCATAACTAAAGGAACAAAGATGATGCTGTCTCCTCCCCTTCATTACCCTGAACTACACTATCATTTGTTATTTTATAATCATCATTATTTATTTTATATATTTACTTAATGCCATAAAGTTAGGCATTGTGCTTTGCCATGTGAATTGCTGTTATTAGCTCAACCGAATTAAGTCAAGTTATTCTGGGGGTGTTTTTTTTTAAAAAATGTGACATTTAAATACAGACAATGTCTGTACCATATTGTTAAAGTTCAACCACACATCCTTCCTTTCTGTTATCTATGGGCAACTACAGAAGTGAAAGGTGAATCACTCTATTAGGTGGTTTTGCTGAAATATAATTTGTTTGTGGGGGATTTGCTCCGGTGTTTCTGGGAAGTTTCCATAATGTCGAAAAGAAATATATTTACAAAAACAAAAAAACTGACATGAAAGGACTGTGGGTAAAGTGAAAAAGGTATGAATTTTAAATCAATGCAGTCTATGGAAAGGTTAATTCTGCCACATATCTTGTTGCTGTTTTATAAAATCCTGATTTTGTTCATCGTGTTATTTATATCTTAAGCTTTTGTGGGTCTAGATTTTTGTATTCTTTTTAATGAATAGAGTTAGAAATTACCTGTTCTTCTTCTTCACTGCCTGTTCCAGCTAAACTCAAAGAGCTAAGATGCTTGTGAGGGTCAGAGAACTGTGGAATGGAATGAGGGAGAGATTCAGTCAAAGATGTACAATGAGGTGGATTACAAGACAGATAACACATCTAGGTGCAATACAAAAGTAACATAAAATACTTGCAGCATTCGGTATTAAGAAGCCAAACTTGAACATAAAAAAATAAAAGGTACAGAAAAAGAATGAAGGTCTAATCTAAATATTATGCTACTCAGGTAACATGCTGTTATTATTTTGATATTATTTAGATTACAATACTAACAGTATTCCTTCTGTATCATAAAGAATCATGGCATTTAAAAGGGAAGGTTTGCTATGATCTGGGAACCAGGAAAAATTAGACCAACGCTATGGAAATCACAGGATGGGAAAGCTGGAAAGGAGAGTTCAAAAGTTATCTAAATCAGTTCCCACATTTCACAGATGAGATAATTGAGGACCATAGAGGTTAAGTGATTTTCCAAAAGTCATAAAACCTAGTGAGTGCCAGTGCTGGGACTTGAACCCAGGTCTCCCAGGCCAGAATTTTCTCAACACTCTGTTGTTTGTTTTCTTTCTCTTTCCCTTCTCCCCTAAAAGGGAAATGGGATGATAGGCCTAAAAAGAGAGTTGAAACAATAAACTATAAATTGACATATCCTAGACCTAGTTTCAGTGCCATATAGTCTTCTGCCTCCTCTTGCTTATTCACCACAAAATCCAAATGATACAGTGGGAATGCCACTGTTAGTCATTACCAGGAGACTGTTCTTTCCTCTCCTTGCTTCAGTGTACAGGGGTGTTCCAAATCTAAATTTCTGTTGCATATGTAATCCATGACAATGTGGAAGTTGGATTCCCCCCCCCCAACTCGTGGTCATATCACTATCTGTGTGAGAAAGTGACAGGAGAAATTTCCCTTCATTCCTTTTACCAAAGCAGATCTGCAACTTTCTTCCATTGATAGCTTTGAGGTTTGTCTGGGTTAGCAGGTATAGGAAGTCTGACTTCAAGACTGGCCCTTACCCCATTATACCAGGCTGCTTTTCTGTAAGAAAACTATAGGACTCAGTTGAATCTGCTAGCAGACTCCCTAAAACTACATTTATCTGTGTGTGTCCTAATGTTGTATAGATGCAAATAACATCTGCTCAAAGTATCATAGTAAAAGAAAGACTTGTCAGATTACATATTCCAATATCTTTTAAAAAAAAAGCTTTACCCTATTATTCATGTTTATATCTTTAACCACAAGGCTCTTCTGACTTACGTATAGTTTTGAGTAATAATCCTACCCGTACAAAAAGCTTTAGGAATAAATTAAAAAATTATCTTGGAAAGTTGGGCTGTTAAGTGAACGAACTGCATTATTTGGGCTTAGGAACTTATTTATTGAGTTTATTTTCTCTGGCTCCAATGGACAACACTAAAGGTAAATTTCTCCATCCACATACCAAAATATGGATGTCTATCATGGAAGGAAGGAAGCAACATTTATTAAGTACCTACTATGTACCAGGAATTATACTAAACACTTTACAAATATTATCACATTTAATTCATTTAACAACTCTGAGAGGTAGGTGCTATTATTATCCCTATTTTTCAGTTGAGGAAACTGAAGCACATAAGTTCACACAACTGTCTGAAGTCTTCCTGCCTCCAGGTCTATTTTTCTATCTATTGTGCCTCCTAGCTGACTCTAGAAACATAATATTGTTATTCAGTCCTGTACAACTCTGTGACCCAATGGACTTGTCCATGGAATTTTTTGGCAAAGATACAGGAGTGGTTTGCCATTTCCTTCTCCAGTGTTTCTCCATTTTACAGATGAGGAACTGAGGCAAATAGGGGTTAAGTGATTTGCCCAAGGTCACACAGCCAGTACGTGTCTGAGGCCGGATTTGAACTCGGGATCTTTCTGACTCCAGACCTGCTGCTCTATCCACTATGACTCCTTAGCTAACTCAAACATATAGGTACTGGTGTACGTGTGGGTACATAATGAGCCCATAAACATTAAAAAAAATCTATTTAAATGTTAAATGGCCCTATCCATTTTTACCTACACCAGTTTTTGACCCTCTGGCATCCTGACCCTATCATATTTCTGTCCAGAACCTTAAAACTCTCCTGTCCTAAACAGAAACATATAGCCATGTACATTCAGTGCTTACCCAGAAACACAAATTATTCACAAACCTCATAAACACAAACTAGAAAAAAGAGGCAGAATTTGTTTCATTTCATTGAAACTAGCCATCTGGTCTAAACAAGTTATACCAGATAGATATAATCATAGCTTTAGAGCCGGAAGGACTTCAGAGGTCATCTAGATTAACTCCTCCTTCTTTTACAGTTGAGGAAATCCAGGTAGTTTTAAGTGATTTGCCCATGGTCACACAAGAAAAAATTAATAGAGACAAAAACTGATGTGAAATGAAGAACCAAGAAAAAAATTTACAATAGTTACAACAGTTGCCAATGAAAAGAACAATAGGACAATAGAACATAGCTGAATGCCATGTAATTATAATGACCAAGGTTAGCCCTGGGTAGAGATGAGGAAAAGTACTTCCCTCTCTTCACTGTAGAGTTGAAGGACCAGTAAGATGGATTGTTGCATATACTGGCAGAGGAGGTGGCGGTGTCAAGGTGTTTTTCTTAAATGTGTTTCAAGGAATGTTGTGATACCCATCCCCTACATGTTAACAGCATTCCATATCATAGTATCTGAATCATCTCTAAAGAAGGACCACTTTCAGCTCAAAAGATAAAAACCAAGTATGGCCAATGGCCCCCATACTCCCAATCCATCTAAGGATTGATCTAACCAATAAAATCTGCTAGCACTCCTCTTACCATAGACATATATGCCCTTTGGGAATAATCTGAAAAGGAAAGAGAGCAGGTACCCCAAGAAACATCTAGCAGCCCTCTGTGACAGAAATGGGTCAAAAGCACAGGATATTGATGATGATACTTGCCTTTGTTGAAGTGCTGGCATTTATATCATGTAATAAAGACATTTCTGGAGGACTCCTGGGTAACCCATCATCTTCAGAACTCATGCCGGCATCATCTCCCCGTTTAGTGGGAATCCCACATGGAGGAGGGGGTCCCAGTTTCACATTATATTGGATTTTCATCTGTAATGGAAAAAAAAGAAATATTCTCTTAAGTTGACACCTACCATTTATTAACAGGAATTTTTTTGGGGGGCTGATATAACTGATAATGACTGATTTTTAAAAAATCATCTACACAATCAATAATGTTACTTAAATGTCTTCTCTGTGCTAATGCACCATGCTAGGTGCTAAAGACTGAACTAAGAAACCTACTCTGCAAAGTCTATGTCCCCCTTCATCACAGTGTTTCAGAAATGATTAACTCTGTAGCTGTAATTTAGAGTGGACAAGGATAGAATTTTTTGAGAATAAATTATTTTACTAACAATGAATGGAAAAGTGTTCATAGTAGAGAAACTTCTAATGAAGTCCTGCTCTGTTGCATCAGTTTGGCATGGGTCCTCAAAGACTACAACAGTGGTATCCCAAGTACTTGTGGATCCAACCCAAGGTGGAAAGGCTTCAGGTATGAGTTGGGCAATGGATACCATTGGAGACCAGATGGCCTAAATTTGGAGAGTGCAGTAGAATTTAAACTCCTTGAAGGGACCATTTTTCATTTTTGTCTTTTCATTTTGCAAAGTAGCCCTTGCACCTTACACAGTGCAGTGACTTAACAAAAAGTCAACTGGATTTGGATTGAACTGAATTCCTAGAGGATCAGCCACTCACGAAATGAAAAATTTTAGGGGGCCACAGCAACTCTTGAAACCACATACTGAAAAGTGGAAAGGCTGTGATCTGTGTTGATAAAAGGTGTAGAGTGGTCCCAGAGACGAAATCATGATCTGACTGAGAGTGTAGCATCCAAATAATCATAGTAACACATTACGAAATACCTAAATTCCACATCTCATATGTCACTGCTTGGAATATTACCTGTAAAGCTCTGATCCTCTCTGACACATTTTCCTGAGAAAACACTCGAGCTGGCCTGGGGGGGTCTTGACCTGTCTCAGGAATGAAAATGCTGTCGTGTGAAAGGGCTCGGCTTCCCAGGGTACCCTTGTGATCCCTAGGGCAGAAGAGATAAGTTCACACTATACACGCTTTCATTCCTTCTTAATCACTCCATGCCTCAGTGATAAGAACCACAGAAAATGTAACTGTGGCTTGATGACATAAAAAGACCAATATTGGGACTGTTCCCAATGACACCATCTTTGTATTGTCTAAGACCAACCCTCAGGACCTCTAGGAGCACAGCAGTCAGTCAAGCAGTCTTTAAGAAACACTTTCTACATGTCAGGTACTTCAGAGACAAGAATTCTCATAGTAGAGATGAGATATGTGATGGGGAAAATGCAAACTTTATTTTATTTAAAAAAAAAAGTAGGACAGGAATGACGACCCCAAGAAAGCAGAATGAATAAGAACAGCTCAAAACCAATCTCAGTTCTGACCCCTCTCCACTCTTAAGTTATATGGAAAATCTGGAGAGAGTGAAGTCATTTCTTGTATGTAAGCAAGCAGACACTCTGGCTCCCAAGTAAAGAAGCTATTCTGGAGGCTGTGTTTGCACAGCAGGCTGGGTGAACTGGCTGCCTGATAGTCTGGTCACAAGATCAGACAAAATATCCACTCATGTCCTGGCATCTGGGTTTAGCAAATGGCGTATTTGAACGGAAATTTCAAATTTGTAAATCCACGGTCCCTTTTTATTAGTCTATGCAATACAGGAACATGGGCGCATTCTGAAATGTAATGTGGGCATATTACCAATTTTCAAAGATCATTCTTTTCTTGCTACCCTGGCCTCTAATCTAAATTCTGACACCCCACTACTCCCCTCCCCCACCAACTAGATAAATCAAGGCGTTAGTCTGGAACAGGATTCATGAGGAATAAATGGAGGATGTATTCTCTATAAAGGATGCAGAAATTAATAGTCACATTTTCCTAGCAATGGTGGCCAGTCAAACAATAGGTGGAAAAGGGTCTATTTTAGACACCTGACAATGAAGGAAGGAAAGCTTGTCTCAGTACAACGAACTGAAAATGTTGCCAATTTTTTTTGCATTTGTGCATGTGAAAATTTGACCTTAGTAACCTGCCAACAGCCTTGAAGGCTATTTTGCGACACACTGCTTGCAAAATGAATACCACCCAGAGGAAGTCCGTGCAGTTCTATGAATTCATATTCTTCCAAACTTCAAATAGCATTCAAATGGTAAACAACCCCTAGGCACAGAATCACAGAATCTCCAAATTAGAAGGAAGCTTGGAGGTTATACGCAATCCAACCTTTACCTTAAGTCTGAATTCCCTCTACAACATCTTCAATGGATTGTCTATATATGTGAGTTTGTGTATGTGTGTGTATTTTACACATGCATAATGGTATATAAAAAGTTCAGCTTTAGTGTGAAGGTCTCTAGGATGCAGATTACTGCACTGTTAGTGCAACAACTTCAATTTTTTTTGCTTTTACATCAGTTGCCCCAGTCAGTTTCTTTGAAGTGGGACAATATCCTTATGGGTTTTTCCAATAAGGGACTTAGAGGCCACATGACCTACTGAGGTAGTCTATTTTACTTTTGCACAGCTCTAACCGTGAAGCAATATTTCCCCATTTGAGCTAAAATCTGCCTCCCTGCATTTGTCCTAGTTTTGCTTGTGAGGCCCATACTGTACAAACCTTAATTAAATCTCTCTCCCACATCAAGCTTCAAATACTTGAATACGATTGTGGCCTAATGTGGCCATCCCTACTATGGCAGGGAGGCTGAGGCTGGTGGATTACTTGAGCCCAGGAATTTTGAGGTACAGTGCACCAAGATGATTGGTTTTCTGCCCTGAGGGTAGCACCACTAAGGAGAGGCCCTGGGAGCAGGGGGCCACCACACTGCCTAAGGATGGGTGAACAGGTTTAAGTGAGAAGCAGAGCAGGTCAAAGCTTCCATGTCTATCAGCAGTCTGGTCCATGAATGGCTACTGTATTTTCAGCCACAGTGAGATAGGAAGACCCAATCTCAAACAAATCAAAAAGAAGAAAACAATGAATGTAGAGATCCCTTCTGAAGTCTTCTCTTCTTCCTGGTAAACTTGTATGTCCTCACATGGCATGGTTTAGAATTGGAGCTCTTAACTTTTTTGTGTGTTAAAGATCCTTTAGAAGCGTAGGATAGAATAGATAAAATAGGACAGAAAAGGAAACCAATTACACTGAAACACAGTTATCAAGATTTTTTCCCCAAAAAACAAATTCATGGATTCCCTTGTTTAGCATATCCTCAGCATTTTAGTTACCTTCTCTTTTTTTTCCTTTTTTTGTTAAAATTTTTTTATTTTTAGGCAACTAGGGTTAAGTGACTTGCCCAAGGTCACACAGCTAGTAAGGGTCAAGTGCTTGGTTTGAGGTCACATTTGAACTCAGGTCCTCCTGACTTCAGGGCCGGTGCTCTATCCACTGTGCCACCTAGCTGCCCCCAGTTACCTTCTTCTGCACCTGATTTTATACCTCAGGCATTTTACCTTTAATTGAACATGATACTCCAGATATGACTCATCTAGAGCAGAGCACCGTGGGATTGATACCTTCCTTGTGTTAGATACTATGCTTCTATTCATGTAGCCTAAGGTGAAACTTGAACTCAGTTCTTTGACTTGGAGGTCTGTTGTCTATCTGCTACATAGTACTGCCTTTGTACTGGTATTGTGGAAAGAACCAGGCTTTGGAGTCTGAGCACCAAAATTCACATCCCACCTCTCATTATTACTACCTGTGCGATCGACCTTCTTGGGCCTCATTTCCTAATCTCCAGGGAACTGCCCTAGATGGCTTCTTTTCCAGTTCAGAATTTATAATTCTACATAAATATGTAACATTTATATATGATGATGCATATAATAATGGAACTACATCTAGTCTTATTGCTCGGGTCTGCCAGCTAAGTAATGAAATGAGAAAGTTTATAATCTTTGACTACCTAAAAAAAACACAGCAAGAAATGGTAGAAGTTAAGTACAATACTTTTTTTTTTAAAGGCAATTGGGGTTAAGTGACTTGCCCAGGGTCACACAGCTAGTAAGCGTCAAGCGTTTGGTCTGAGGCTGAATTTGAACTCAGGTCCTCCTGACTTCAGGGCCGGTGCTCTATCCACTGCGCCACCTAGCTGTCCCTAAGTACAATACTTTTGATCAAACTGGATGCAGATTATTGTATTGTCTGGGCAACGACTTCAGTTTTTTTACTTATATACCAGTTGCCCCAGTATCCAGTAGGCACAGCCTCAGCCAGTCTCTTTGAAGTGAGACAGCAATATCCAATAAGCAAGTGCACAATTAATAGCATTCTATTTCCAAAATGCTGACAGAAGGCTACTAAGAAGGTTTGAATGCCAACTGTGGATTCTAGATCTCAAAATACTGATGATTGTGCTACTTGATATCACACACATAAAAAGAATGAGAAGAAAGGAAAGAGAATGAAAAAATAATTCAAATCTCCCAAAGATATTTTAGTTGTTTGCTGCCACCAAGTGGTCATTCTTAGGTAAGTGAAACAGACTTTGGTGAACAGTTCAATGGGCCATTTATTAAGAGTACCAGAGTATCCATCATCAGCAAAATTATTATGAATGGGGCACAATGACGTTTACTTTCTAATCCCAGGGAACTGCTATCTTTCTTGAAAACTCTTGGCTAAATTTAAGATGATTATTTTTTTTAGCCATTTTAAAAGTTGTTATTATTTCCTGTAGGTCACAGTTATTTTGGGGAATTTTTTTTTTTTTACAGCAAGAGAATCAGCATGGTATAGTGGATAAAGAGCTGGCCCTGGATCTGGGGAGAGACAATTTGAATCCTGGCTCTGATACATACTGTCTGTGTGACTCTGGACAAGTTTCTTAACCTCTGAGTGCTCTGGTTGACTTTAAGACTATATAGGTAGTTCACCAGCACTGAGAGAAAGTTTCCTGATGTGGGAGTTCCCTATTATTAATGAAATCATTGGACCTGTCTTTATCCCTATCCTATTCTCAGTGCTATACACATTGCTACTTAATAAATGCTTTTCATTTATTCAAGAATTTTCTTTTAAATAAATGGCTTTCCCCAAATGGCTTCTCTCTTTCTAAGAGTTCAAAGTCTGACAAGCTCTAAGAAGACTTTTAGGTAAAAGTTATCACCATAGAAGAATACGGAAAGACAGAAAACACTATTCGATGGAAGAAAAGAATTATTCAGGAGAATCTTCAGATCATAAAAATTTTAGAACTGGAAGAGACCTTAGAAAGCACTTAAACAACAACGACAAAAAAACAATTAGTCTAAAACAGTAAGAAAAAAGAAAGCAGCTAATCTAAATTTTTTTTTAAAAAGCAACTAACCTAACTCTAATTTATAGTTGGAGATTCTGAAGCCCAGAGAGAGAAGTGAATAACTTCAAAGTCACACAAGTAGTAAATAAAATATTCCCTCCTAGGCCTCTTGATTCCCAAAACAGGAAAGTTCAGGGAGACAAAGTAAGAGAAAAACTTACATGTCTAGAAATGCCTTCCAGATCATAGGGTCCCAATAATAATAATTACAACTATAATAGCACTTATATAGTACTTTAAGGTTGGCAAAGCACGTTATAAGTATTACCTCATTATAATCCTAGAAGGTAGGCGCTATTATTCTCATTTTATAGATGAGAAAATTGAGGCAGATAGAAGTTAAATGACTTGCCCAAATATCTGAAGCCAGATTTGAACTCAGGTCTTCTTGACTACAGCTCCATCTATTGTACTATTTCTGAACTTTTGTTGTTGTTCAGTCATTTTAGACACGCCTGACCGTGTAGGTTTTCTTGGGAAAGATACTGGAATAGTTTGCCATTTCCATTTCCAGTTCATTTTACAGATGAAAAAAAAAACAGAGTTAAGTGACTTGCCCAGGATCATAGAGCTAGTAAGTGTCTAAGATCAGGTTTGAATTCAGGAAGATGAGTCTTCTTGATTCTAGGCCCGGTGCTGTATCCACTGCACCACCTAGCTGCCAATTGTACTACTTAGCTGCCTGATGTATAATAATCCATGCCCAGCCTTAGTACAGTCGTGACACACAGTAAGTGCTTATTAAAAGTTTATGAACTGACTGGCCAATAAGAAGCCAAGTCCAGTCCCTATAACTTACTCAAGTTCATCCTCTGAGTCATAGCCAACGGGTAGAGATGCTGGAGCAATGAAATCACTCTCTGATTGGCTTGGCTTCCAGCTGCTGCTACTTGCAGATGCTGAGGTCTCTTTTCTCTTCTTCTTCCCCCCAAAGAATTTTTTTAAAGTTTTGAACTTGGACTTCTTCTTTCCTAAATGAGATAAACATACAGACAAATGTGTGTGCCTGGAAAAAGTTAGTACCCCTTTGCATCTATACGCTTCAACACACATAAGGGACAACTGAAAAACAAAGACCAAGCAGAACATGAATAGAATTTTGGGGCCACCTTTTTTGTTTTCCTGCTCCTTTGGTCTACCACTAATTTAAATTCTGGTACTCTAAATGTGGGATCTTTATCTAATGACTAAAAAGAGATACCACTGGATCAAATGAACCATTTCCGATAAACATTCTCACTATAAATGAAAACAGAAGACATGACAAGGTGCAGAATGGTTTGCAATTTTTTTTTTCAGAGAAAGAAATAAAGGAACTGGTAGGGTGGATTTTCATCCCTTAGAAGGGTTACTTCTAAGAAACGTGATTTCATGTGACACTTTATCATATGACCTAGAAATGATCTTTGAGCGTAAACAAATAAATCACTATAATTTCAGACTATCTACTCTATATGTGCCATATGTTGCAGAGGAGGAAGAGAAATTATATGAAAAACTTGAAAAAAATTTTTCAAACCAAGTCAACACATACTTGGTGACTTCAATGGGAAGATGATTTACAGGGTGAAAAATATATTGGAGAATATGGTTCAGGATTATGAAATGAAAGAGGCTAAAGGTTTATAGATTATTCAGAAATCTCATTTCATATTATGTGAGATTCCGACTTTGTTCAAGTAGAAAGTTGTAAGCTACGTAACAAGTGGTAAAACATCAGCCCTCAAAATGAAATGAACTCCATCTTAACAGGCAAGAAATTATGGGTTACCGATATGGGATTCACTTCTGAATCTGCAGGTCTACACAAAGGCAGATCATTAACTGTCTGGAAGTTAAAACTAATTTGTTGTTGTTGAGTTGTTTTTTAGTCATGTCTGACTCTTGTGACCCCATTTAGTTTTTTTTTTTAGACAAAGATACTAGAAGTGGTTTGTCATTTCCTTCTCTAGTTCATTTTCCAGATGAAGAAACTGAGGCAAATAGGCTTAAGTGACTTGCCTAGGGTCATACCGGTAGTAAGTATTTGAGGCCACATTTTAACTCAGGGAGATAAGTCTTCCTGGCTTCAGGGCTGCCACTCTATCCACTGTGCCACCTAGCTACCAAATTTAAAATTAGCCATGACAAGTATTTCTTAGGCATCTACCATGTTCAAGACACTGGTGCTAAGCACTGGGGATACAAAGAGAGGCAAACTAATGATAAACAAACAAAACACCAATCTGTTCCCAAATTACTCACAGAAAGATAAAGTTGAGAAAATACAGTGCAAATTATCAAACCTACCTCCAATCTAACCTCTATAAATCAGCTGTTGATTCTGATAAACGGAAAAAGGACTTGAAAGTCAAAGAAAAAAAGGAAAGAAAAAACTTAAAAGTTAAGACATTGGCTCTAATAACTGCTATTCCTTAAAGAGTTTTGACAATCACTACAAAGAAGAGCCCAGGAGTCCAGAAACAGTTTCAGCCAACAAACACAATCTCTCTGCCAAGCAAAAAGACAAGACTGCCAAGGATAATACCAACTCAGAATACAGGCTTATTTGTAAAACAGGGAAGATGAATATACATTAATAAGGGCAGTGTTGTTTTTTAAAACATGGAAAAGCAGTGGTAGAAATAACAAGTCTGTAATCAGTGTTAGGCCCAATTAAGTCATGCCATTATAAAAACACTAAGAGCTGGACCTGGAAGGAAGCAAACAAACATATGTGAAATGAAACAGATCTGCCATCATTCCCATAATGGTCTGTTTTTATCATCAATAACAGTGGAAGCATCACATTTGGATTCTAATACTTATAATACCTGATGTCAGAATATTAAGTGGAAATGGCACTGAAGAAAATGAAGTCAGGAAGAACATACTGTACATAGATACAAAGAAAATTACACTGAAGGTGATACAATTAAAGGTACTTGGGGGCCAATCTACAACATAACCCAAAGAGAAGATTCTAATAGAATACACAAAACTATGGATGATATCTCCTCTGTTCTTTGCACATGGAAATGTTTGTTTGTTGATGCTTATATGAAAACAAAATTTGGAAGTTTTTAAAAAAAGGATTATATGGCATAATTACACCAAAAAATGACCACTGAGAAGACTCTAGCAACTACCAACCCATATGCTTGCTTTTTCATCTAAAACCTTTAAAAGAATGGGCAACGTACACATGTATCAAGGGTTTCCTTGTTGACAATAACCACAGAGATTTAAATGAAATTAGGGAGTCATATACTCGCTAAAGGAGTTGACAGCGTCATAAAAGATATTTAAAAGCAAAATTAAAAAGGAATTCCCTATAGAGAAGTTCTTAACCTGGAGCTCATGAACTTATTTCTTTAAAAAGTGTTTTGATAAGTATATTTTGATATGATGGATTTCTTTTGTAATCTAATAAATTTTACTTTATGCATTTAAAAACATTATTCTGGAGGCAGGGAGGTGGCACAGTGGCTTGAATGGATTGAAAGTCTTTCCAAATTTCTGAAATTCACCATTAGCATGCTTTTAATTGGTGTTATATGCATTATTTACTAAAGGATGAAAATTCTTTAAGTTCAAAGACTCCAGTAATAAGATGATTTTTCCCCTACCTTATTCATTCTGTAACTTTTAAATTCCTTATTTAATTAAAATTAAATTAAAATTAATTCCTTACGATTGTGCTATAAGAAATGAAGAGCAGGCAGATTTCAGAAAAACTGGGAAAGACTTACATGAACTGATGCAAAGTGAAGTGAGCAGAACCAGAACACTGTACACAGTAACAACAACATTGTGAGATGGTCAACTATGATAGACTTGGTTTTTCTCAGCAATGCAATGATCTAAGACAATTCCAAAAGACTCATGATGGAAAATGCTATCCATGTCTAGAGAAAGAAGTGATAGAGTCTGAATGCAGATCAAGGCATACTATTTTCACTTTTTTTTTTATAGTTTTATATAGTTGCTTTAATATTTATTTATCATATTTTTCCTTTTGTTCTGTTTCTTCTTTCACAACATGACTAATATGGAAATGTTTTACATGATCGCACATACAAAACCTATATCAAATTGCTTACTATCTTAGGAAAGAGGGAAAGGAGAGAGGGAGAAAATTTGGAACTCAAAATTGCATAAAGAAATGAGTGTTAAAAACTGTCTTCACATGTAATTGGAAAAAATACTTAAAAAAAAAATAAACATTCCCTTGGTTAATTAAGAGAACCCTTCCTTACCTAAAATGAAGGCTACTTGCAATTATATGGGAAATATTACCCTGCCCATTTAAGGCCATTCAAAACTCCTGGGGTTATTTTTACCTTAAGCAAATCTCTGCCATCCATAGGAAAACCACTTCTCCTGCCATTCACTGATATTCAAAGTTATCAAATAAGGTTCTCAAAACCAAACCATCTTGTCTCACAAATATCCATTTGGTTGCTTTACCTACTTTCCTGATCATAATTTTCTGATCATTAAGTGGTAACTTTAGTATTTCTACTACTACTATGCCGTTCTCATCTCTTGGAGCACAAATAGATTTTGACTCAAATCTTTCAACAAGGCAGCATGTCCTAATAATGAAAGGTATCCAAAAATGAAAATCATGACCTTGGGAGGTAGGGAATTTTTGCATCATAAAGAGGTATCCCAGTGACTGTTGCATAACACTGTCTAGGACACTGAAAAAAGGTTTAATGTTTCAAGTAGGGATTGGATTGGATGAGTTCTGAGGTTCTTTCCAACTTTGAGAGTCTAGGATTTAAAAAGATATTGGCTATTTTTAGTTTAAGTTTGATTATAGGATTAGGATCCCTTCTTTAGGAAGAGCTAGCCCTAAGCTAAGGCAGAATAACATAGACAGTCTCTTTAAGTCTAGGTTACCTATAGATTTTTGAATAGATTAGAAGACATTATCATTGAGTAGCAGATAATTTAGAAAAAAAAAATCCTAAATTCATAAAGTTTTTAAAAAGACTAAATTTCCCTTTCTAGTAGAAAGGGGGGTTGACTAGAAGTGAAGTTCCCCTTTCTGGCAGCTGGGGAAAAGTTAGCCAGAGGTTAAATTAAGCCCCTTTTTGTCTTGAGCTAGAATCAAAATTGAATAATGGACTATTCTAAGGAAATTGGAGGTGGAGGACTGCCAACCATGGACCATAAGTTCTTTTCTAGCACACTTTCTGGTTACATAAGGTACCACCTGGAGGAAAGGACTTCTGCCATAGAATTAAAAAGTCTGGGAGAAATTAACTAGTCAGGTGACCTGCCTTGTCCAATTGAATTATGTTCAAAACAAGTTTCTGTCATTTTTCCAATTCTTTTTTGTTATAAAAGCCTTCTCTGTAAACCATCTCCTACTTTCTGGCCTCTGAGGAGTATGGTGACCTGGTTTGACATGCAAAAGCTAGTTTTGCAGTTTAAATCACAGATGGCTGGGTAACTAGGTCCTCGGTTTCCTTTCTATTTCAGGTAATCCATTTTAACAGATTCTCCTTTATATGGCTTTGAGTGGCCCTAAGTGGATCCACCTTTGAGTAGGGCCTTATCTAGTCCATTTGTAAGTCTATCTGCAATTTATGGATTGAATATATTTTTCAAATTCAAAGATGCCACTGCCAACCAGCTTATTTTGTTATCTGTGCTGGTCAGAGATGCTCTCAGAGATCAAGGCAGCTCAGCTGTTTCAACATTTAAGGACTGGTGGTTAGCCATTCCTTTTGATGTTTATACAAAATGTCAAATACAAAATACTCTTTGGCCTTCAAAGCCCTTTATAACCCAGGAACCCCTTTCCAGTCCTTTTTACACCTCATTCCCTGCCATGTTATCTTCAATCCAGTGATACTGGCCTCCTTGCTATTCTAAGAACAAGGCAGTGCTCTTGGCTCTGAGCATTTCTTCATGCCTGGAATGCCCTCTCTCCTTATCTCCACCTCCTGGCTTCCTTCAGTTCCTTTGTGATTGTTCAGTCGTTTTTTGTGTTTTTTTTCCCCCTGGGGTATTCTTCATAACCCCATTTGGCGTTTTCTTGGCCATTTCCTTCTCCAGTTCATTTTATAAATAAGGAACTGAGCCCAACAAGGTTAAGTGACTTGACCACGGTCATGCAGCTAGTAAGTGTCTGGGGCCAGATTTAAATTCAGGATGATATATATCTTCCTGACTCTATCCATTGCGCCATCTAGGTATCTGTCCTACCTACTTCCTTGAAGTCCCAACTAAAATGTCACTTTCTATATGAAATCTTTCCTAACCCCTCTTAATTCTGATGTCTTCCCTCTGTTACTTATTGTCTATTTGTCTATAGCTTGTCTATTCATATGTTTGTTCTCTCCCATTAGACTGTAATCTCCCTGAGGGCTGGGGCTATCTTTTGTCTCTTTTTGTATTCCTAGCATTTATCACAATACCTGGCCGGTGGGATGGAAAATAAGACATGCCAATGACCCAGAGTACCAACTTAGCAAACATGGCAAAATGGGTAGAGTTGGCTTCAAAGCCAGAAGCACCTGGGTCTCTGACACACAGTGGCTGTGGGAAGGCACCAGGCAAGTAATTTAAACTCTCAAAGCTCTCAGTCTCAGAGTGAGGCAATACCTTAAGACTATTATGTGGTAGAGAAGGTGCCATTTTGCAGTGATAGAGGCAGCTTCCTCACACGAAAGTTCCTTATACCAATGAAATCAGGGGTCTAAGCCTCTATCTCTATGCCCTGTGAGCCAGGCACTGCACAGGCAATGGCGATACAAAACACAAAAATGAGGTAATACCTGTCTCAGAGAGCTCCCACAGACTACAACATGGACCATAGCTCTAGAGCTGGAAGGCAGTTAGAGGTCACCCAGTCCAAAACCCCTCACTTTACCAATAAATTGTTGGTCCAGACAAGTTAAGTAAGTGACTTGGCTTTTCTCCCTATTCATCTTGTATTTATTGTTGTTTTTGAGTTGTTTCAGTTGTGTCTGACTCTCCATCACCCCATTTGGGGTTTTCTTGGCAAAGATACTGGAGTGGTTTGCCATTTCCTTCTCTAGATCATTTTACAGATGAAGAAACTGAAGCAAACAGGGTTAGGTGACTTGCCCAAGGTCACACAGCTTGTTAGTGACTGAGGCCACATTTGAACTCAGGTCCTTCTGACTCCAGAGTCAGTACTCTATTCACTGTGTCACCTAGATGCCCATCTTGTATTTTTAACAGCCTTATAGTTATTCTACATAGCCATATACATGTGTATATAGGCATATATATTAAAAATATACTATACACAAATAATATGTGCATGTGTATTACTGACATATATCAAAGACTTTTACATAATATGTGATATGTACATATAGGCATATACACATATGTATATGCAACCATGAATTGAAAGATGCTTGCTCCTTGGAAGGAAAGCTATGGCAAATCTGAACAGCTTACTAAAAAGTTAAGATGTCACCTTGCTGACAAAGGTCCACACTGTCACTGCTACGGTTTTTCTAACAGTAGTAATGTATGTCTTTGAGAGTTAGACCATAAGGAAAGCTGAACATGGCAGAATCAGTGCTTTAGAACTGTGGTTCTGGAGAAGACTTTTGAGAGTCCCTTGGACAGCAAGAAGGTCAAATCAGTCAATACCGAAATTAATTCAGGCTATTCATCAGAAAGTCAAATGTTGAAGTTTAAATACTTTGGCCACATCATGAGAAGATTAGACTCTTTGGAAAAGACCCTGATGTTGGGAAAGATTAAAGGCAAAAGAAAAAGAGGACTGCAGTGGATGAGATGGATAGAATGAATATGAGCTTGGACAGACCTCAGCAGAAATAATGATGTGCTGTGGTTCATGGGATCATGAAGAGTCAGACATGACCGAATGCTGAACAACAACAATATATACATATGCATGTATATGTGCACACAAATTTGCAGAAGATTGTTATAGCACCCTACTGTATAATATGCACACATGTATATACATATACACTGCAAGTATGTAACACATACATGCATATATACATATATACACACATGTACACACATACACACATGGTGTTATAAAACTCTTAAGATTGAAACCTTACAAAGGCTTTTGGGTTAACAACGATATACGTATATGTATATATGTGTATCATGATATAGTGGATACCAGAAAAAATAAGGAGGCTGAACTCCCAGGTCTATAGATACTCCAAAGAGATCACAGAAAGAGGAAAAGGACTCATGTACAAATATATTTCTTTTTTTTTTGTAGTAAAGAACTGGAAACTAAGGGGACACCTATCAATTGGGGAATTTCTGAACAAATTATGGTATATAAACATAAGAGAATACTATTATCATGGAAGAAATAATAAAAGGGATGGGTTCAGAAAAGCCTTGGAGAAAATATATGAACTGATGTAGAGTGGAGGTCAGCAGAAGCAGTAGAACAATTTAGCTACAACAACAGGGTAAAAATAAATAACTCTGAAAGACTTAAGAGTTCTGATCAATGTAGTGACCAACAATGATTCTAAAGGACTAATGATGAAGCTTGCTATTCACCCCCTGACAGAGGGTGATATAGCTGGGGATGCAGAACAAGACATATTTTTTAGATGTGGCCAATGTGGGAATTTATTTTGCTTGAATATGCATATTTCAAGGGTTTTGTCTCCGCCCTAATCCAATATATGGGAGAGAGAAAAAACAACAGATTCGTTAATTGAAAAAAAATACAATTTAAGGAATAAAATGAAGGGGCTGTACTGAATGACCTGCTACCGCCAAGGCTTCTTTCTATATTAAAATCTATAAATCCATACTACCCTATACTGTAAGTTGACTGGGTCAGTTCAAAAGAATTCTGGCCAGAATATTGACAAAAAAATGTCTCCTAAATGATTGTAGCAGTCTTCTTCAATGTAAGGAAGTATCCTATGTGGTCATGGGCATTTCTAATTATGGATAAGTATAATCTTTCAAACAATAAAGCAATGAGTAAATCTTTCTGCTGCTTCTCTTACCACTTTCCCCTTATATCTTTTGCTTTATAAGTCTTTCTTCACCACGGAAACACTCCCATCCAGGAAAACACTGAAAGTAAATTTTAGTAACATATCCTGTAGTAATATTCCCAAATCATTATTATGTCACTTATCGATCATGATCTAGTCATGTTCGCCAGAGGAAGCAGCAGTCATGTTTACGATGTACCAAGGAGGAAAATGCCTATAATCTATGAAATGCAATCCCTACTGTAATGAGTATCTGAACTTTAAGCTCAGGCTTAACGTAATTAGTGATTTTTCTTCCTGAATTGAAAAGCTTATCATGATGCATTTGGGAAACTCACTTTCTGTGCCCAGCATATTAAATGCTAAAGATGAAAACAGCTTTGTTACCAAATGTAAGGCTAATTTCAGTGGAGAAAAGGCTAATTGGGTCAGAAGTTATGTTATAGGGAAAGAAATTCCTTTCTAATGTCAGGTTTATAACTTAATTACAGAAAATCAAGACACAGATATCTATAGTATAAAGCAATCATATTGACTGAAAATCTTGTGAATGAGATAAAAATTTGTTGACTTTGAGTTCCTAAAAGTATAATGAAAAGGTTCCTGAAAAGGAAAGGAAAAGAAGGAACAATAAAGGGAGAAGTGAGAAGCTCTTGCCAAGTAAGAATGATTTCTTCTGAGGAATTTGACTGTCTTAGACAAGGATCAAATTCTCACTAACACGCAATCTGGGATGCTAAATGATTCTATTTTTCCTCCTCTTCCTTTTCAGACCACTTAAAGACTGAGAAATGTTTATTCAAAAGAACGTGAAAAAAAAAACAAAAAACCTCAAAAATGTTACCTGTTTTTACAATGGTGTAAAGAGATGCTCTCAAGAGCAACAGAAATTACCTGGAATCCTCTTCCTTCTCCCCATTAAATCGCCTGTGTGAGGTGTACCCATTTACTTGAAGCAGGTCTGAGGTATGACTGAGCTGCTGACGCCTTCCTCTTCACATACAGAAATGACCCTGTGACCCAGGGCTTATCTGTCTGCCAACAAGTTTCCTTTATAATGCAGGAGGAGCAAAAACCTTACCTGAGCTATCTTCACCAAGCGCTTCTGCAGCTTCCCGCATCTTAATATCCATTATTCTTGTAGAGCTCATTTCCAGTTCCCTAGAAACCAAAGAGAAATGAGTTTTAGTTAAGGCAACATCTTCAGTTAAAGATACAAGTCAATCAGATTGCTGCTTTTTGCTGGTAACCCTAGTTGTCTGCACACACCTACTTTGGTGTAGATAAGATCACAGGGCAAAGTTCTATAGAAGAAAATGTGCCTACGCCTGTAAGCTTGGCAATCATTTAAAAATTCGTCTGATCACTGACCGCAAACAATAGCAGTAGCCGAGGTGAAAAACAGTCAGCCATACCACCAACTATACAAGTCAGATCTGGTTCCTTTTTTCTTTTTTTAAATGAAAGAATCCTTTGTACCTTCATGGAAGTCATTTACACGGTTACTGGTTGACATTTATGATGCAAACACACCCTAAAGTAGGTACTGTGCCAATCTGGCAGCAGCTTATATCCTTTAACAGCAAACTTTAAAATCACACACACACACACACACACACACACACACAAACAGTTACTTAATGAATACTGCTTTGAATGAAGTACTTCCTCTATAAAGGATGGATTCAAAAGATTCGATACAAATTAACGACTGGATCAATAATATTCAATCAGTGGCCACTTGTAGAAAACACTTAAGTGTTATAGGAAGATGGCTAGATAAGAGATAGACACAATCCTTGCTTTAAAGAAGCTTGTAAGTTAATTTAATCAATTCTGTAGAGTAAGTATGCAGGAAATAACCCCATCTCATAAGGACAAGACAGACAGGAATAAAATATAGAACTAGTGACAGAACTAGTGATATGCAGGTCTTCTAGATATTCTTCAATATTCTTCAAATAACAATTTCAAATAGTACATCTTGACCACTAGTTCTCATTTCCTCCAAGAAAACAGAAACTTTCATTCAGCCTTAGCAATCACCTTTTCCCCTCTTTCTTTCCTTCTTTCTTCCCTCTCTTCCTTCATTTCCTCTTTCCTTCCCTCTCTCCCCTTTCTTCCTGCCTTTCTCCCCTCCCTCCTTTCCTTCTTTTCTCTTTATTCCTCTCAAAAAACAAAGTTTTACTGATGCATTTTCACCAGTCATTTCCATATGGCCATCTTAAGACTGAATTTTAAAGGATTGGTAGGAATTTGCAGGGAAAAGGACATGCAGGATGTCCATAATATCTTGACGACTATTAAGTGAAGAACATCTTAACTGCTTTCTTCCATTCATTTTAATGTTTCTACTCATTCCAAAAATGGAAAGACTTCATAAGGGTTATGTTATAAAAATCTTGCTTGCTTAGTTATATCAGCTTTCCTGTTCCTTATCTAGCCCCTTCCCAATCCCACCATTTGAAATTAATGATCAGTCAAAAAGGTTGATACATTACAAACACCTCAGAAAGTATTCCAACTTCTTTTAGCACCCTCCTACCATAATTTCTTTCACAGTGCCATGAGGTACCTATCTCCCTTCTTTATATGTCCCATTTTGGGGGACAGCCTCAACTCCACGGTACTATGGAAATTCCAGTCCTATTCTTTGCGCCTAAACAGATCCTTCATCTGGCACGTAAGGGTACATGTAAACATGACTCTCCAGAGCTTCACAAGCAATAGCAGGCAGAGTGGTAGACTTGGGAGTCAAGACCTGGATTCAAATCTCCCCTTAGACGCTTGGTAGCTATGTGAACCTGAGCAAAGGGCCTTAACTTCTCTCAGTCTCAGTTTCCTTTTCTGTAAAATGAGGACTAATATAGTTAATTCTAGTTAAGATATAAAGGCTAAAATTGGATGGGGTGGTATTGACCTCTCCCCCAAATTAAGTATAATTATAGCTTTTCAATTACATTTACAAATGTATATACAAAATAAATAAAAGGTAGTTTGGGAAGACTGGACCCCTAGTAACTGGGGGCCTTCAGGAAGGACTTCATACAGAAGACAGTACTGGAGCTGAGTTTTGAAGGAAACCAAGTATTCAAAAAGAATACTTTAATTAATTTAATTAAATGGGAGATTGAGTGCCATGTTCAAGGACATCAAGTTCCAACAGCACTTACCTCACAGATAATACATTTTTGCAAATCTTAAAATGTTCTATAAATGTTCGTTTATTGTTACTATCGTTATCATTGGGGCAGCTAGGTGGCGCAGTGGATAGAGCTCTGGTGTTAGTCAGGAAGACCTGAGTTCAAATCCAGCCTTAGACACTTAACACTTAGCTGTGTGACCCTGGGCAAGTCACTTAACCCCATTGCAAAAAAAAAAAAAGATAAGCAACTCTTTTTATTCCAGTAGCTTTTTAGGGTCTGAACCTCTCAAACATTCTGGAATATAAAAGTGTGGTGGCTAAGTACCTGTAGCAGTCTAAAGCTTTCTTTGGTCTTGAGAATCCTGGGGGATGGCTGTATGGTAAGGCATTTTCAGAGACAGAGAAACTTGCTATTTATCCCAGTCTTAATATCATCCTTCCACCACTTCGGTTTTTGTTTTTCTTTTTCTTTTAAAAATGCCTCCCCCCCCAAAAAAAAAACCCTCTTACTTACAGGTTCTTTCACAATAATTTACACCACAGGTCAGCTATGTGGTGCAGTGGATAGAGCTCTGGCCTTGGAGTCAGGAGGACCTGAGTTCAAATCTGGCCTCAGACCAAATGATTGACACTCACTAGCTGTGTGACCTTGGACAGGTCACTTAACTCTGACTGCCTCACCAAAAACTACTATTTAAAATAATTCACACTAAATCTCTCCCTTTTAGTGCTGATTCCTTCCTACATATAGATCTATGCCAATTCACTCATGAAAAATGGAAAATTGATTCTAGGGTTTTTTTTATGGTATGGGTTATTTTAAGGGCCAAGATGACATTTGTTCCTACATGTTTGGAAATTTCTGATTTTATTTTGTGCATATAATATAGCATAGTGAGACCCTGCAAAGTTCACTGACACTGGTGAGTAGCAATTAGTTGCAAGATAAGGCAAGAACAAGGATCTATAATGGAAAAGACTGATATAGTATCTGTCTTCTGAAGATGACTTCACACCCTACAGCTACTCTCCAATGGACTTAAGACTAAATACATGATCTCATTTCTATATTTTTCTAAACCAAATAATGGATACATCCCACTTCCTTTTGTTTCTTTCAATTCCATCACAATTAGCACACCCTCAAAATTCAGTTCCTGGACTTCCTGCCAAGATGGTTCCTTGAAGTATATGTGTGGATGGGTGGGGATGGAAGGAAGAGGTCATTCAGTTCCTACATATCTACTCCACTGAAATTCAGTAGTAGAAAAGGGCTGGAAAAGTGGAGTCAATAACACAGCTGAACTCTCCCAACATTCTCTTCCAAACAACTTTAAAATAACTCCTTAAATAAAATTCTGAGTGGCAGAGCTAACAAAAGGTTGGGGTGACACATCTTTCCAGCTTATGACAATTCAAGAGGTCTGCAGGAGAAGTCTGTGTCACTGGGGTGGGAGCCAGCCTGGAGTTCAGCAGCATGACCAGCAGTGGGCCTTGGTGGTCAGCTAGGGTATCAGCAGCAGATCTCAGCCCAGAGACAGTAAGGGGCTTGGATACCTGGTCAGGAAGATTACAGGGGACCCTTTGCTGGCACTGGTGCAGCTGACACTAACTGGCAACTCCATAAGCAGTTCTGGGTCACAGTACCAGGGTAGGAAGGAGCATTTATGATCAGTCACAAGGTAGCAGAGGCCTTGGTGGCAGGTCCAAGGCAGAAAGGAGCACTAGCGTTTGTGGCCACAGGAGAAAAGGGGCCCTGGTCACAGTTCCAGGCCCAAGATGGCATCACCTTGGAAAAACTGACCCCTACAGCTAGCTCTGAAAATAACTGCAGGAAAAAGCCTGATGCTTGGGACAGTGCATTCCTACTCTGAGATGGACAAAATACAAGGTTCAAAGTAAAAAAAAAAGGCAGGAAAAATGAGCAAACAACAACAAAAAGAACTTGACCATAAAAACCTACTACAGTGGCAAGGAAGACAAAGAAGTAAACTAAGAAGAAAACACCTACAAGCAAAAGAAAAATGCTCATTGGACCCAAGCCCAACAAGAATTCCTGGAATGTTAATGAAAGAGATAAGAGTGATAGAGGAAAAAACTGAGAAAACAAATGAGTGATGCAAGAAAATTATGAAAAGAGAATTAATAACTTGGGGGGGAAGCACAAAAAACACTGAAGAAAATAATACCTTAGAAAAACAGAATTGACTTAATGTTAAAAGAGCCACAAAAATTCACTGAAAACAACTCCTTAAAAAGCAGAATTGGCCAAATGTAAAAAGAGGTACAAGCGCTCACAAAAGAAAATAATTCCCTTAAAAAATATTACTGGGCAAGTGGAAGTTAATGAGACATGAGACATCAAGAAACAATAAAACAAAATCAAAACAACAACAAAAAAAATAGAACATGTGAAATATCTCATTGGAAAAGCTGACCTGGAAAACAGAATGAGGAGAGATAATTAAGAATAAAATAAGAATTACTGGACTACCTGAAAGCCAGGATCAAAACAAAAAGCCTAGACATCATATTTCAAGAAATCATAAAGAGAAACTGCCCCCATATTTTAGCTTGAGGATAAAACAGAAACTCACTGGTCACCTCCTGAAAGAGATCTCAAAATGAAGACTCCCAAAAACATTACAGTCAAATTCTAGAGCTCCTAGGTCAAGGAGAAAATATTGCAAAAAATCAGAAAGAAACAATTCATTCAATATTGTGGAGCCACAGTCAGGCTCACACAAGATTCAGCAACTTCTACGGAAAAGTAGTGGAGGACTTAGAATACGATATTTTGGAAGGCAAAGGAATTACAACTCCTTTACAGATTACCACCAAAAATCAATATCTACACAGTAAATTTGAGAATAATCCTTCAGGGGAAAAATGGATATTTAATAAAATAAAGGACTTTGAGCATTCTTGAAGAAAAGATCAGAGCTGAATAGGAAATTTGACATTCAAACATGATACTCAAGAGATACATAAAAGGTAAATATGAAAGAGAAATCAT